CTGATTGCTCAAGAGTGTGTTATTCAGTTTTCATGTGTTTACAGGATTTTTGAGTATCTTTTATCATTAATTTCTAATTTCAGAGTGCTATGATCCAATAACATGCAAGGGATGATTTCAACTCTTTTGCATTTGTTTAAATATGTTCTGTGAGCTAATATATGGTCCATTTTAGAGAATGATCCATGTACTGCTGAGAAGAATGTGTATTCTGATGTTGTTGGGTGGAACATTCTGTATATGTCTATCAAATCCATTTGTTTGCATGTGTGATTCAGTTCTGTTATTTCTTTGCTAATTTTCTGTCTGGTTGATCTGTCCCTTGGTGTCAATGGCATATTAAGGTCTCCTGTTACAATTGTGTTACTGATAATTTGAGTTTTCATTTCTGTTAATAGTTGTTTTATATAACTGGGTGCTCTGGAGTTTGGTGCATATATATTTAAGATAGTTATCTCTTCCTCTTGGAGTTTTCCCCTAACGAGTATGTAGTGACCTTCTTTGTCCTTTATGGTCATTGTTGGTTTAAAGTTTATGTTGTCTGCAAACAGAATGGCTACTCCTGCTTTTTTTTGGATTCCTGCTGCATGAAGTATTGTTTTCCATCCTTTGACTTTCAGTCTGTGAGTATCCTTCTGGGTTAGACGGGTTTCCTGTAGACAGCATATGGTTGGGTTTTGTTTCTTGATCCATTCTGCTAGTCTGTTTCTTTTGATTGGTGCATTGAGACCATTTACATTAATGGTTATTACTGTTAAATGCTGGTTTATTGTTGACATGTTATCTCTCTGCTGTTGCATCTTTATCTTTCTGTTCTGTTTAATTATCTGCTTTGCTTAGTGGTTTTTTCTTTTGTGTATCTAAATTGTCTTTCAATATTTTTTGCAGGGTTGGTTTGGTGTTCATGAAGTTCTTCAGCTGTTCTTTGTCATGGAAGTATTGTATTTCACCATCAATTTTGAATGATAGTTTTTCAGGGTACATCAGTCTAGGTTGGAAATCATTTTGCTTTAGGATCTGGAATACTTCACTCCATGCTCTTCTTGACTTTATTGTTTGTGCTGAGAAGTCTGCTGTGATTCTGATAGGTTTTCCTTTATAAGTGATCTGTCTTTTCTCTCTGACAGCTTTTAATAATCTATTCTTGTGTTGATTTCTGGGATGGTGATTATTATATGTCTGGGTGTAGTTTTATTTTGGTTATGACTATTTGGAATTCTATATGCTTCACTGATCCTGATGTCAGTTTCTGATCTCATGCTTGGGAAATTTTCGTCTATTACTTCTCTAAATATCCTCTTGACATCCTTTATGTTGTCTCCTTCTTTTTCATTAATCCCTATCATTCTTATGTTATTTTTCTTTGCATCGTCTTGCAGTTGTTGAATTGTTGTTTCCTGATTCCTTGTTATTTTTAAAAGATCTTTCCTTTCCTGTTCACTAGCTGCAATCCTGTCTTCAAGGTCTGAAATTCTATCTTCACTTTCATTGAGGTGGTTTTTACAACTTTCAGTGGAGTTTTTTTATTTCCTGTATATCTCTGTGCATCTGCATTATGTATTCTGTTTGTTTCTTATATTGCTCATCTAGGGATTCTTTTTGTTTAGTTCCTTCAATTTTTTAACTGTGTTTTCTTTAGATATATTCAGAATCTCTTTCATTTCTTTTATCATTTTTTCTTTTACTTGGGAGATTATTTCGAGTTTGAATTCCTTTAAAGCTTCCTGGAGTTGCTTGTTAATTTCAGTAGCTATTGTGTCCAATATTTGAGGTGAATGGCATATATTTTCTTCTATATACATTGCTCCTAGGGTTTCTTGAGATGGGCTGGAGGTTTGAGGTTGTAATTTGGTCTTTCGTTTTGTCATTTTCCTATATTTCTGTGTTTCAAGTGTTATTTGAAGCTTCCTCAGGGTTTGTTGGAAATCCCTTTCTATTTTCACAGCTCCTGAGACTCTGGCACCCAGTTACTCCAAGCCATGGGGCCTGTAGAACCAATGACCTTCTTCTGCCTGTTTAGAATTCCGTAGTTTAAGATAAGCTGGGCTTCAGGGACACAGTGCGCCCAACTGCTTGTTGGAAGCTCAACAGGCCATGGGGCCTCTGGAACCTGCGATGCTCCCCTGCTTGCTGAGATATCCACAGTCCTCCAGACACACGGGGAGGTGGACCTAGGTGTCCCAGATCCCCCCAGCCCTTCCTCTGCACACCAATGGTGAGGTACAGGAGTCCCAAATAGGCTGGGCTCCGGGGATAGCGTGTGTCCACCTACTTGTTGGAAGCTCCACAGGTCTCCAAGCACAGCCGGGATGGGGAGGCGGATGTAGATGCCTCAAACCCACTTATCCACTTCACTGCACACGGAAGCCTGGAGCATCCCGAACAGTCTGGGCATGCACAATTTTTAAAAATTTCAGTACATCCATGTTTATTTTAATGCGCTTACTAAAAAATGTAGCTAATATAAGTATTATTGCTTAAGACAATAAATTAGTTTTCAAATGAGTAAATATATTCTGGATAAATATAACAAAATTATAAAACTGGTCTGCAAATGAATGAATTTCCAAAGAATTTTTATCTATGAAGTAAAGGTTTCATAAGGGTTCAGAATAACATCACCAGAATTTGAAAAATCATTATTTAAAGGAAAATAACTATAAGAATTATTTTTAGATTAAATAAGAAAAATGAGATCTCTTTCAGCCAGTTAATCTTTGACAAGAAAATTGATTGCATATTTTAGATTTGTTGAAAGTTAATACACAAATACAAAGAACTCTAAAACTATGTAGGAAAATATTTTAAAACTCAACTAGTCACATTGGTGTGAAACTTCAGCAAACCAAAGAAAATTAATTTTTAACCAGCAATTAGACCAATGGCAAATTTCTCAGCAGCAACAGAAACCACAATATAATAGAATAATATGCTCAACATCCTGAGAAGAAATCCTAACACCTACAGTTATATATCTAGTATAATTATGTAGACTAACCAAGGACAAATTTTCAAACTTTCAGTTTAAAAAAAAAAAGTACAGCTTGCCACATCATGCTGTCATTCAAGGAAATTCTGAAATAATTTACAACAGGCTTAAGGAAAATAACCCAGAAAAAAGATTTAAGAAATGCAAAGAAATAAGCGAAATGTTTTTACATGTGTGGATGAGTAAAAAAAAAAAAAAAAATACAACTAAAGATGATAGAATAAAACTAAAATAGTGAATGGGAAGAGGGTTAAACTTCCTGAGACCTTTGCATTTTTCAAGAGGAAAGTGTTAGCTTTCTATCTTGTTTACATGTAAAAATAGTAAAATAATTTCTAAAAATACAGCATGTATTATTCTAAATAAGTTTTAAGGAAAAAGTGGTGTTAGAAAAAGAAAACACAATCCAAAAGAAGCTTCGTCTGTTAAGTTTTTGACATTTAAACTTTTTTGTTGCATGCCATTCTCAATTCAAGTAAATCTTTTGTAATTTTTTTTGTGTGCATGAATTTATTTATGAAGGTGTTTTTAACCTTGGGCTGGAGAACTACATCTTTCCAAGGCGGTTTTATTTTTCCTTCTGCCAGCTATTCAAGGTGCACCATGTCAGGATTTTTTTGAAAGTAGCAGGGCCAGTGAGGTGGGAGGTTCAATGTCTTTACTTTGAGGTCCCTGTAACACAAAAGTGCTATAAATTTAAATGTCAAACTCTTATGAAACTTTGTCTTGGTATTTCAAAATTTAATAAGTTAAATTATTATTTTCTGTCCACTCAGATTTCCTTATCTGCTTATTCATGAATGTTTTCCATTTTTTCTAGTCCACCCTTTCACTTAGAATGATGCTTTTCAGAGATATGGGTTTTTTGAAAAATTCATTATTTAAGGGAAATAAGGACACTCATTCTAGGTCCTATTCTGCCAAGCTACAGGCTTTTACCTCCTGCCCTTTATGTGTCTAGGCCCAAAGTTACAGAGATTAACAGTACTTTGCCCACCCTGAGGATTATCAACCATCATGGTTTGTTGGTTAATACAAATATATTTCAGTGATAAAATTAGGGAAGCAATCCTATTCTGATTTTCCCTTTTTTTTCATTTTTGGCATCATAATATTTCCTTTCATTTCTTAATTTAGCTGTAACACCATATTAAAAATAAGATTATTATTTTGTCTAGTATTACTAAATGTTGCTGTAGTTTTCACATTATAGAAGTTTATCATTTTACCAGCTCAAAAGATCATATTAATACTTTTCACCAGTACAAAAGGGAAATTCGAGAGTAGGCAGTTAATCCTGTGGTTATAAGATGCTACCGTGATTTCCAAAAGTGATTAGCTCCATTAGCTGCCCACAGCTTGCTTTTGTTGCGGGCCATATTTCTTTGACCTTGAGAATGTTCTAGAATTCTCCAGGAAGGCCTAGCATTTTGCTCTAAAGCCTAAAAGAAAAACTCTTCCACTAAATTTAAACTCCCTGAAGGAAGAGATGTTCTTTTTAAGTGTTCACTGTTGGGATATGCCCTATCTAGTAATTGTCGGTGCTCAGTAATTTTCTTAAAGATCCTGAAAGTGGATAGGGTGACTCGTCTAACATTTCCTTCAATCCAACCTCATCCACCTCAAAATATGACAGAAAAGTACACAAGGGATTGGCCTGTTGATTTTGTCTCTATTTTCCATATATTTCCTCCTATTTTTTGTTTCGGTGAGCATTTCAAAGAATTTTGGCTGGGTAACGGAGCTAATCACAATTGGGTATATCTTGGGCATTCAGGATGCCATCTTGAAACTAGAGTTTAGACAAATTTCTATTTTTAACATGTTTATATATAAATTATGATTTGAACGGCATATTTGAGACGATGCGTGTCCATTGGTCGGTCGGCCTGACAACCACACCTCTGAAGGCACCACGCAGCAGGCTGCTTACGCCCCCGCGCAACCCCCTCCCTTGCGTGGCGTCGTCCCCCCCCATGGCGTCCCCCGGGCCCCCTTCCGCAGCGGGGAGCACTGCGCTGTCCCCATTGGCTGAGGCAGTGCCCATGCGCCCTAGAACCCTGTGCAGGGACCACCTCCCCTTGCTCGTGCGGCCCTCCGTCAGTCCCTCGGCGCCCCTCGCCCCAGCTGCTGACCTCCGGGGCCCCTCTGCCTCACCGCAGCCTTCCATTTCCTCAGGCACAGGCCCTCAAAGGCCGGCCAAAGCCCAGCCACTGCTTCTCAAGCCGCGTTGGCCAGAACTGCGGGTGCCGCCATCATGGTGAGTTGAGGGAAAGGTTGAAGGGCCTCAAGGCCACTTTGTTCTTCGAGAGCTGGTGAAATTTTGCGTGTGGGGTGCTGGGGAACACGTACAGGGGGAGTTTCCCCGGGTTTATGCTCCGGAATGCTTTCCTATCAGGACGCCAGGGCGGTCTGCAGCCATCTCGTGGCCTTTGAGGCACCTGGGCCTGTGGGAAGTGGCGGGCGGCCTGCGTGGTGGCGCCTCTCTGGTGGCCTCAGTGCTAAGTAGGCCCAGGCTCTCCGGGACTGAAGTTTGGGGCACAGGAGCTCTCTTAGTCCTGCTCCCCCTGCCCAGTCGACGGCGACGGTGGCAGCGGCGGGTTCGCGGCTTCCTCGAGGTGGCATCAAGCCGGAGGCATGTAGGAACTGGTGGCCGTGGGGGAGGGGCTCCTCGGGAGGAGGTTGGGGGAGCGTGTGAGAAGAGCCATGGAGGTGTGGGGGAGCCTTGGGAGGGGAGCCGCGCTCTAGGCGTCCAGCCGTCTCTAGGTCTCTAGCCGAGCAGCCCCAGTCGGTGGACCACGGGTTGACCCACATGCCTCCACAGGGGCAGGTGGCGCCCTGCGGTGCTGAAAGCAGCTCCCTCGTGGGGCCACCGCAGGTGTTGTGCTGTCGTGAGAGTGGATCTAGTGGTTGCTCCGGAGAATTGTACAGTTTTTTTTAACGTGGGGGATGCTTTTTCTCGTTGAGAAACTAGAAACTTAATAAAATGTGCATTCTCTCGATTCCATTTTGCGTGTACTTTATGGGAGCCTTTATAAATGGAGAGTGGGTTCACTATAACTGTGGAATATAATCCTGTGAACACATTAGCCAGCTATTAAGTCATACACGCGTGTACTGTGTGCTGTATATAAATGTGTAATAGTTCCGTTTTAGAGATGAAACGAGGAAATTTATCCACAATTCGTTATCTCACAAATGTTAAAATAAAAATTTATTTTAACAAATTAATATTTGTGACTTCTCCATATTGCTATTTAATAATCTCTAAATTATTTATTATGAATTTTTTCTCCATTATTAGAGGGAAAGTAAAATGCTAATTTTTTCTGATTATAAAGTCATATTTACTAATTTAAAATGATCACTGTAAGAAAATAATCTTACTTGCAAAACCTGACTACTATTAATTTTGATATGAATATTTTCAGATTATTTCTTTGCTTGTACAGTTACAGGTACATTCTGTTTTATAATTGCTGAATCATACAATAGTCTTACAATCGGCATCTTTCAATTACTATAGTTTGGAATTGCTTAGGAGATAAATTTAAAGTAATTTTTAATATACAGTGTGAGAGTTATACTTATTTCAATGAGTTTTTAAATGATAAATTATTTTTCAATATTAAAACAGTACTGTAATGGATATCCTTCTACAAATATCTTGATATGTTTATACTATGAATTCCTTGAGATAAATGGCCAGAAATGGAATTTCTGGTTGAAAGAGTCATGCTTCTTTTATTACAATTTAAATTACGTTTTTTCAAGTTACTCATGGTTAAGCATGTTCTGTTTCTCTACTGGTGATATATAAAGTGATCTTTCCTACCCTTTCCAATGAGGTGTATTATAATTTTTTATGTTACCATGTTAATAAGTGGAAAACATTTCACTGTATTGATGTGCCTTTTTAAAAATTCATTGAAGTTAAAATATTAATGTGTATTAAATTTTTTCTTAAATTTCTACTTTGTATATTTTTTATTCATAAAACTATTAAGATTAGGCTTTTATTATATATAGTGGAAAAATTTATGATGTTGTTGAGAACATGCTCTTACCTTTGTCCTAATTACAGTGAAAACTCCAGTATTTTCACTTTAAGCTCCGTAATGAATTAGAATTAGGTTGATAGAAAAGTAAGCTTCACTTGTTTTCTTTCACTTGGCTTTTTTTTTTTTTTTAATCGGTACCAGGGATCAAACTCAGGACCTCGGGCTTGTAAAGCAGGCGCTTATGCTGCTGAGCTAAATCCCAAGCCCCTTTCATTTGGCTTTTAAAGAGAATTACAAAATGAATGCTGTATTTTATCAAATGCATTTTCAGGGAAGAATAAAAGTAACATTTCCTAAGAATGAGCTATCCTTGTATTTCCTATATAAACTACTTAATTGTGAGATTTTTTAAATGCACTGCTGGAATTTTCCATCTCTGTGAATAGACAGGGGTATACTGTCTTGATGAGGCTGCAGTTAGATGATAGTAGCTTTGTAAAATTCATTACACAATATTAAGATTTTTTAAGACTCTTGGTCAAGCATGTACCAGTTTTATTTCTCCACTGGTAATATATAAAGTGATCTTCCCTACCCTTTTACAGTTAAAGTGAATAAATCAATTTTATATTTACTATCCCATTTAAACAGAACCAATGTATAAGACATAAGCCCAATCCAGTCTTTCTATGCCTTTTTCTCCTTACCAAATTACTGTATGGTATTTGAATTTGCCTTTCTCCTTTTCTGTCTCTTCTACCATTGTTTCTAGTCTCTTGGATGGGCCCCCTACCCTTCATATGAGCATCACTGAGTATTTGTTCTACTAAGATTGTTTGTAAAAGATGTACGTTTATCTAGAAAGTTAGCTGTTTCATTTGAGATTTCCATACTTCCACAGTAGAGATGTTTTCATAATCTATAGTTGTATCTTCTTTTTTATGTATAATGTATAATTTTGCTTTGTTGCTTAGCTTTACCAATTGCTTATTATTATTTGGACACCTGCAACTCAAAAATTTACTCCTGAAATTACTTAGTTTTCATTCTGATTTTCATTTCCTCTTCCATTAATTTTAGCCTTTTTATTCCTTCCGATTACTATGGGTGTAATTTAAATGACCACAAATTATACCTTTTCCTGGACGGTACATTTAAATATATTTGTTTACAATATAGATGTAGTTATTGAAATTAATAAAGATAGCAGTCAAAAAACTTTAATTTTCTTCTAGTGTTATTTTTGGAGTACTGTACCTTGATTACTTTGTTAGCTTTGAGCGCCATCTGCTGGCTTTGGAACAAGGGCATGGTGCTGCCTTAATTAAATAAATTTTATATTTACTATCCCAGTTGAACAGAGAACCAATTTATAAGACCTAAGGCAAATCCAGTTTTTCTATGCCTTCTTCTCCTTACCAAATTACTGTTTTCTCAGAGATCTATTTTGTTTTTGTAAATGGAATATGAGAATTAGAAGAGATCTTTGCTAACCACTTGTTTTTCAAGCAAAGAAACTGAGATCCTAAAAAGACTTTATTTTACTGAACAGTGAAAATAAAGGTCTTCCCAAGCAGTAATTTCCTATGGACTCTGTTAGCACTGGTACAGGATTTCTCAGCCATATTTCTATTCAAATTTTGGGCCAGGAAATTCTTTGTTTGGGGGTTGTTATATTGTGGCATGTTAATTAGTGGTCTGGTCTTCTACTCTCCAAATGTGGGAAGTATATCTCAAAAGTGACAACCAGAAATGTCTCCATACATTGATTGAGAATAACGAGTTATCATAATCCTTTACAATTTGGCACAATTTTCTGACCAGTTGTTACATCTCTAAGATACATTCATATTTGATATAGAGACAGATAATACCGAAAATAGTTTTACCAAATAAAAATGAATCCAGAGTTCATCCACTAGTGAAAAGGGGGATTAAGGAGAAAAGGAAATCTGGAATCAGAACTACTATTTATGTTTTGGATTTTTAATAACATTGAGAAGAGATTGATAGATTGCCTATAGTGAAGGGAAATCTTGGACTATTTCCAGTAGTCTAAGATGTGTAGCTTATGGAATACATTTTTATTTGGAAAAAAACAAAATTACAATATACTGAAAGGAAACAACTAAACCAGGCATATTGCATATGGTTATAACCCCAGCTGTTGGGTAGGTTAGTTCAAGGGTAGTGTAGACAGAATTTGAAAAGTAGCTGGAGATGTTGCTCAGTGGTAGAGCATTTGCTTTAAGCATTCTTGAACTCTTGGATATAGGATCACAAAAGAACGAAAATCTTGAGAATTGTGTTACTTTCTGCCACCTCATTGTCATGAAATAATATTGTCATAAAGGAAAAAATTAAATATTCAAATAGGAATACAAATTAGTTGAATTTGGTAGAGAAAAACAAAAACTCAATTTTGGTGATTGGACAATTTTAACTTGTAAAATTTCTTTCTTTCTTTCTGTCTGTCTTTCTGTCTGTCTTTCTTTCTTTCTTTCTTTCTTTCTTTCTTTCTTTCTTTCTTTCTTTGTGTGTTTGTTTGGTACCAGGGATCAAACTTGTGACCTTATGCTTACCAGGCAAGCACTTGAGCCACTGAGCTAAATCTCTGGCCCTTAACTTGTAAAATTTCTATAAAAATTACTTTGCTAACATTTTAAAATGGATATATCAGTTTCTTTAGTTACTGCTTTTGTTTTCTTTCATAAATTACCTTTCTCCTGCAGCCTTTAGTGTTTACCTCCTATAATTAGCTTATTTCATAAATGAGTTACAAATGAGTGGATGTGTCATAGCTTCGTGAATTTCTCATTAGTTGTTACTAACTATAAAATAATACTTATAATCAGTTTGTTTCATAATTTCAAATGTGTATCATAAAAGTTTCCTAAAGTTCCAATTAGTTATTAGTCAATAAAATACCTATAATATAAGTCAGCTAAAATAGTAAACTAGAAGACAAATTTTCAAAGAAATCTTTGGAAAAATAAATTCAAATGACACGATACTAACCTATATTAGCATGACATATCATCATGCTTTATAAATTGTATTTACAGATGTTAATTACTCCATTTCATTCTCAGTGATTTGTCTAGAGATACACAGCTGGGAAGTAGCTTGTGACTTAGTAAGAGGCATGAATATAGATCTGCATAGTAAATTAGTTTTTTACTATGCTGTATTACCTCTCATATATATATATATATATATATATATATATATATAATGTGTATAATATATATATAGCCACACCCACAAGGAAATCGTGCTTTAGAAAAAGTAGACATTAACCTTGGAGTCTACTGTAGGAAGACTAAAGAGCACCAATCAGTTACAAAAAGTGAGTTATATGTATGGGTTTCTGTATGTGAAAATAAAGATGCTACCATTTGTATCTGTCAACCAGTGAAATTTTGAATTATCTGTGGGACTCATTTGGTGTTGCACAAAAAGAAAAATATTTACTTCAAGGTACTTAGAGCACTGTAGCCTTAGGATTATAATCCCTTTTAGCAAGAGCTGTGATATGTGACAAATAATGTTTTCATACTCCATTTCTAAAGTAAAACAAAGGAATGTTAAAGTCGTGAGTACACAGGGCTTGTAGTTTTCAGCCATTTCTCCAGCCTTCTGTCTCTGCTTTTCGCAGAGCTTCCAGCGGCACCATGTTGGGACAAAGCGTCTGGAGGTTCACAATCTCTGTACGTGGGTTGGAGCCATTACAAGGAGGGTCCTGAGAAGAATTTGGCATTTTCTGTGGGGAAAAGGTGGCAATTACTGGTTATGATTTTACTTTGGATCTGGTTTTGCAGCACCTTTCTTCATAGTGAGACACTGACTGCTTAAGAAATAAGGATGTTTTAATTCATCTCCTTTCACAGATGGAAAGAATTTCTCAAGAGGTGTAATCTCTTTGGAAACAGATCAAACTCCTTAATTCACATGGCATACTAGATATGTTTGTAAATAAAGTAATAACATGAATGCCTTTAAAAAAAAAAGCTTCATGCCAATCTCCTCTATCGTGAGTGTGAACTAAACTGTATTGGACCAATTTATAGTGAAAGTAATATACATAAAATATTTTGTATTTTACATATAAAAGTTATGTTTCACATGTGTATGTTTTTGTATGTCTAATTATAGTGTCTGCTTTCCTAATTATAGTCTTCTACAAATCCTGACACTCCAAACTCTACCGTCTCTAGAGAGGCCAGTACTCAGTCCTCATCAGCTACCACCAGCCAAGGATATGTTTTACCAGAAGGCAAAATCATGCCAAACACCATTTTTGTTGGTGGAATTGATATCAGGGTATAGTATTCATATTTTATTTATGTTTTAAAATATGTTGTGAATAATGGGATTTAGGCCTATTGTAAACCTAAAGATTTTTGTACTGTAAGGAGATTTGGAATTAGTATTATGTTTAACCCATAGAAACTTAAAAATACCTGACAAAGAGTTATGGATTTCAGAACACTTTGTGGAAATACTTTCTCACTACCAACCAAATCTCCTTTTATAGATTTGAAATTTTTGAATGTTCAGTTTTTTAAAGTCAGTTCTTTTCCATAGATGGATGAAAGTGAAATAAGAAGTTTCTTTGCTAGATATGGTTCAGTGAAAGAAGTGAAGATAATCACGGATCGAACTGGTGTGTCCAAAGGGTGAGTAAAATACATGCTTACTAGAAATAATCAAAAATATCTGAACTCTAGCCTGTAGAATATCAAAAAGCACAAGTTCAGTACTGGTATTCTGACACTTGAATAAAAGAAATTTGTTGCTTAATTTTTTCACATAGTGGCTGGAGATTTAGCTCAGCGGCATAAGAGCCTGCCTTGTTAGCAGGCAGTCGTGAGTTTGATCCCTGGCACCGATAAAAAGGAAAAAGACAAAAAAAAAATTTTTTTTTCACATAAAGGATAAAAGTTTTCAACTCTTAAAATCATTTTCCTAATGTTTATATTTCCTGTCTTCATTTCATACAAGTGGATTGTTTTTATCAAAGGTTTTTGTTGTTGTTCTGTTTTTTGGTGTTTTTTGGGTTTTTTTGTTGTTTTTTGTTTTTTTTTTTTTACAATTTTCACAGTATCAGATTTTAACTATCTGGCATTACATAATAAGTTAAATTCAAATTCATGTATAAGAATTTTTTGCTAATGAATGAGGCTCCCACACTTCCTTAATTTCAGTGCATTCAAACATAGACAGACCTGGTTAAAATAAAAAGAAATGATATACACAGAGAATCTATTACATATATCTTAAAAACATTTATTGCAGTATATTTTTTCTTTGTCATTGCTTTTATTCATAGAATAGTAAAAAGTTCTAAGCCATGTACTATATGATAATGACTTTGTTTTGCTTATCTGCTTGTCTAGCTATGGATTTGTTTCATTTTATAATGACGTGGATGTGCAGAAGATAGTAGAAGTAAGTAATAGCTTCTCTTAGCTCATCAATGCAGTGCTTAGTGTTGAATATATTCAGTCTTGTGTAAAATACAGATATACTTTTGTTCCTACTAAATAAAAACAGAATCTTATACAACTTGTCAAAACCTATTTACTTTTGAGCATTTAGTTTCATGACCTAGACGCAGGAAGGATTGAAGACAGGGAAGGTTTTTTTTTTTTTTAATTTTATGAAAAAGTAAAAATATTAGAAGATAACAACAGTTGATATATTGAATATTGTTATCTTTAGTTACTCAGAGTATAAGATATAGGCATAAAAAATTCTCCAGTATTAGCATAATCCTTTTCAAGAGACACTGGTAGTATAATTGATTCTCATTTTTCCTTTTTCCCTTTCTTTCCTCTTTCCTCCATTCTAGTTCTTTTTACCTTTTGAATATTTTCTTTTGTTTCACAATATCTGGTATGCATTTTATACCTTATTTACTCTTTCAGTTTCTCACACCAGGGAGACAATGTTGTTTGCACATGTCTGATTTATTTCACTTAAAGTATGCTCCTTGCTATCTCTTTACACATTAGAGTAGTGAGGATAATGTAGCTTCACAGTGACAATTTTCATTTGTTGGATACTTACCACTGGTTTTCTCCATAATAGGAACTTTAGACAACTTGAGGTGTTTACCTAAGCCTTGGAAGTAAAGACTTGAAAATTACAGTGTTTCTTCTGTTTTGTTTTCAGTCACAGATAAATTTCCATGGTAAAAAGCTGAAACTGGGCCCTGCAATTAGGAAACAAAATTTATGTGAGTAAGAAAACAAATTATTCTATTGAAATAAATAATTTTTCAAAGAATTTAAAACAGGCTTCATTTCTTTTTTTTTTTAAAGGTGCTTATCATGTGCAGCCACGTCCTTTGATTTTTAATCCTCCACCACCACCACAGTTTCAGAGTGTTTGGAGCAACCCAAACACTGAAACTTATGTGCAGCCTCCAACCATGATGAGTCCTATAACTCAGTATGTTCAGGTAAGAATTGCTTGCATTCCTGTTCCTTCATTTGTTATATTATCCTCTGGAATTATATGCACAATTTCTATAATAGGTGATAATACAGTCTGTGTTGGAACACTTTGAATAATACGGAATCTATCACTTTACTTATAAATCTCTCTTTCTTAGTGTTTCTCAAACTGGTAAAAGCTGCTTTTATGTAGTTTGTAAGCCTTTATCTTAACAACTTCTGTAACCACAAAAAATAAATATTTTCTTTTTTGCTCAGGTGATTTTCCTAAAGTCTTTGAAAGCAGATTTTTTCTTTCTGTATCTGCCCAATTTCTTTTCTAAGGTTATCAGTTCTCTGAGCCATTCTTTGCAGTGATTTTATATGTTTCTTTGTACAAATTGCTGGCTTTGGGGTTTATTCTAGTTCTGGAATGGGTAAATTTGTGATATGTATAAATTTTGTGATATATATTTGCATATATAAACTCAGTTCTGATACATAATTTGTCTGCTCCTAGTTAATATTAAAATTGGAGTTTAACATACTGTTTGCCTGTTCATGATAAATAACATTTATTTTCTTCTTAGTTCATTTTACTTTATTCAGTTTGAAAAATTCTTATTTTTCAGCACTCGTAGTGAAATAATTAAAATAATTCAGCACTGTCTCTTAATTTGTTCACTTTTCCATCTACCTAGCAGGTTATATTTACTTTTCTTATTCTAAGCATAAGTAGAAAAAGCCTGCTTGTTTCTGACATTTACTGTGAACTATTACAGATCTTAGGTACTCACGTATACTGCCACTTTTATGATCTCAGGTCAATAAATACAGAAGCATGAAAGGCTTTATTTTATGTCCCTTTCCCAGTTTTAGAGTTAAATCGTTCTAAATTTTTAGACATAAAGTGCAGTAAAAGCCTTGAAATTGCAAGAATATTACAAATTTCCCATTAGCATTGTCAAAGGTATACAGAACTGTCTAAAAGTATTTTCATAAAGAAACGATGAGTGTATAGGAATGCTACAAATTTCCCATTAATATTGTCAAATGAATACAAAACTGTCTAAAAGTATTTTCATAAAGAAATGATGGGTATGTTTATTTAAATTATATAAAAGTCTATCTTGAGCCTGATTGTCAGTGTAAGAAAGAACCACTGACAAGGGATGAATATGGTAATAAGAAGGTAAATGGAGCCTTGCAAAAATACTCATTCTACTGAAAACCAGTCACTGTACATTGTCAATTATCCCTTCCTTCTTCCTTGCACAAAAGACAGAGAATATCATTTTCTTTATTAAGCCAGTCATTTATATATAAGTTATATATAGCCACAGTTATATATAGAAAAAAATGTCTTTTTTTATTTCTGTGGTCTTGTTAGGAATAGTTTTTGTAATTTTTAAAATTTACCTTCTTTAAATTTTGTTTTCAGACATATCCTCCTTACCCAAATTCACCAGTTCAGGTCATCACTGGTTATCAACTGCCTGTTTATAATTATCAGGTAATTAAGGGGAAACAAAAATGGCTTACACTAGAATAATATTAGGGCTTGTAATTTATTTATATAAGTTTTCCAAATAGTATATTGTTTAAACTAGTAAAATGTGACTAAAAGAAAAATAAGAATTAGTCTAGAATTAAGGCACTTATTATTCATAACAAGCATTTAAAATAATGGAATGATACTTGATTAGGAAAGAACTTTATCTGGACCTGCTTTTTTAAGATTTGGTGTCTCCTACTTTATTTTACATAGTCTTTCATTATTGAGGTCAAATAGCCAAACATTCATAAAACTGTCATAAAAAAATTTTAGGAGGATAGGTTGAAATAAAATTATCTAATTCTTGAGCCTAGAATTCTATTTGATATTGTTTATTTTTACAGCAGCTACAAAGTAGTAGCTGTAATTTAAATATAGGCTTATACAACTTATCCACACTTTAAATATAGGCTTATACAACTGTTAACTACTTCCAGGTTTCTTCCCATAGATACAGCCTTGAGGTAATAGTTTCAAGGAACCACTGTCTTTGAGTTTTCCTGAACATTAGGTCTAGAAAACTGAGAAAAAGGTAGTTATATATAAAAATAATCACAGGTATTTGAGACAAAGTATTTCTTTGTTTTGTAGTTTTTATCATAAAAAATTAAAGGAGCCAGGATGACTTTAGCATTGTCTATCTTCTATCGTTGTAAAAATGTATAAGACTTTTTAATCCATTTTGTGTCCTTTTTTTAAGATGCCACCACAATGGCCTGCTGGGGAACAAAGGAGTTACGTTATACCACCGGTAAAATGAATTAACTTATTCATTATGTATTTCTTGAACTTTTGCCATATCGTGTATGCCTGTAGATATTTTTAAAATTCCTTTTGTCATTATATTTCATTTTTTTTAACATGATTACATACTCCATGGGAGAAATAGCGCTTTTTATACCAACCAAGTTGGTTTTGTATGCTTCAGCAGTGGCAATTCTATATCTGATAAAGTGCTCATACTTACTGATAAACTATAATCGAAGAAAGATAGTATGAATATGGATTTACAATTAGCATTAAATATAATCATAAAAATCTGAAGCGAAATCTGTTTTGCTATTAATATTGTTAAATAAGAAAAGGGGATGCTATGTCTAAAATATCAGCTTTTGTTACTTTCATCACGATTGGATATTTAAAGGATACACTAAGAGTTAAAATTTTCATGTGTTCTTACTAAATAGAAGTTTTTTTTATGTTCTTTCTAATTCTGATTATGTTGACCCTTTAAAATAAAGACCTTTTAAAACTGCAATTCAGTTTAAAACAGTTTATCAAATAATGTTTCAATATAAACTCCATTCAAACTTGCTATCAGCTCATTTTGAAGATTATATTACAGAGAAATGTAACTGTGTATCTTTTTAATTATACTTTTATCACTTTAAATATAGGCTTATACAACTGTTAACTACCACTATAATGAAGTTGATCCAGGCGCTGAAGTTTTGCCAAATGAATGCTCAGTTCATGAAGCTACTTCATCCTCTGGAAATGGCCCACAGAAGGCAAACATCAAATTTCGTTTACTGATAATTCTATTTTATATTTATTTTTCAGGTTTTAATAATTTTTTAAGAAGCATCTTTATCCAGATTTAAAGATGGAACCCATAAACTGCAGGGTTTATGTAATTGACTGTCATTTAGCTATTAATGTAAAGGGTAATGAAATTTCAGACAATGTATGTGCTTTGTTTCTGATTTTCTTCCAACTTTATTATTTCTTATTTTTTAAAATCATAGTTTAGTAAATATTGTATCTGTATGATTTGGTAGAATGCAGTGGGAAGATTTTCAAGAGTTTGTGAAAGAGCAGTTAATGAGAACACTGTCCAACTTACATTTACTTAGCTATATAATACTAGACAATATTTAACTTATTCTTTCCATAACACGACAATAACTCTCAAAAGTGGTGGGGTCAGTATTGTTGAAATACTGAAGTAGGCATAAGTGCGCTTTTTAATCACAATACTCTGATTCTTAAATTCTTTATATGTTGAATGAGTGGACATGTGAAAGGAGTTGATGTGCTGAGAATATAAATAACACTGATCATTTGTTTTTCAGTGAAAAAAATGTTAAGAACTACTGAACCACAGGGTTAAAGATTCTCTGATATATAATTTTAAAATTGGAAAAAATATTAAAATACTTTATGGTAGAATTACATTATTAGTTTTTTTCCTGAGTATTTTTATTGAAACTAATATTAGTTTCTGTTTTTTATCTAACAAATTAAAGAACCTTAAGCAAAATATCACAGTGTTTTGATAAAGTCAGCTTTTAAAATCAGTGTTAGTAAGGTTATAGGACATTTCATTTCAAATTTAAGAGAAAATTTGCATACTGATATGTGGTAAGAATTTTGAATCAAGGATGAATTCTTTTAAAATAACCATATATTTACTAAACTTTTTTTAAAATCCCTTAACCAAGCATAAAAGAATTCTTTACTATAAACTTTGGTTATTTCAGAAATCTGTGGACCGAAGCATTCAGACAGTGGTATCTTGTCTATTTAACCCAGAGAACAGACTGAGAAACACTCTAGTTACTCAAGATGACTACTTCAAGGTATGAAAGGAATTATAAGAGGGATTGTAAAAAGCACACGTGTTAGCATTGAAGTATCTCTTTTCTCTATAGTGTATGAATTTTGAGATTACTTAGAGCAGTTGAAGTGTTAATATTTGACTATAACCCAGAAATCCACTGTGAGTGGGTTTTAACTGGCATTGTGTTTTGTGATGCTCAAACCTTAAAGTGTAGTTTGTCTTTAGGAAAGAACAGTGTACCAAAGCTTATAATTTAAAGGATATAAGAGAAGACAGTGGAAGGGAAATACTGGGTTTATTAGCAGAAGAAAATTTTATAAAGCAGAAGTTAATACATGAATATTAGACTAAACAGAACAAGAGAAAACTATTTGAACAATGTAGAGAGAAGGGATAAATTGAAGCAGTTAAAAAGAACTGAGTAGAAGCAAATTGAAGTTGATTCATAATTGTGAGAGCATCAGTGCTTGAGTTTAAGAAAGATCTGGGTTCTAGTTCTGCTTCTGTCCAACTTGGACAGATCACTTAAAACTGCAGGAATTTTGTGTGTGTGTGTGTGTGTGTGTGTGTGTGTGTGTTTTGTATGTGTGTGTATTGGTGCTAGCAGTTAAACTTAGGGCTACCTGCATGCTAAGCATACCCTGCCAGTGAGCATCCATCCCCAAAACTCCGACTTTTTACAAGTCTAAACTGGTCTCTTAGGGTCAAGTGGAAAAGAATAATGTGTTAAGCAAAGGTTGTTTTTTTTTTAAATAGAGAGATACTCATTGTTAATTGGTTCTAGGAGGCATAACACCTATCAAAGATGACTATCAGGCAAATGGTTTAGGCTGAAAACTAATGAATTATGAGGCATTTGATATTGACAGGTTCTAGCTTGCTTGTAGAGTAACAAATGACAAGTACTGGGACAAAATTTTCAAGTCAAAATGTGTTGAGTACCAAGGTGTGATGTAATTGACTTACACATAATTTGGATACTGTACAGTTCACCCACTTAAAATGCGCAGTTAAATATTTCAATGTGTTCACAGAATTAGCCAACTGTGATTACTATCAAGTTTATAAATCCGCACAAAGAGTAAGCCCTCTATCCATCAGCCGTCACTCCCTGTCTCCCCCCCCCCCATTCATCTGGCTTCAGGCAACCAATAACTTATTTTTTGTAAAACTTTTCCTATCTAGACATTTCATGTAAATAGATTCACAGAGTGCCTGTCCTCATTTCACTAGCATAAAATATTTTAAAAGTTCATTGATGCTTTAATGTGTTTTTATTCATCAATTGGTAGATATTTGGGTTGTTTGTACTTTTTGGTCATTGTGAATAATACTATGAAAATTCATGTATAAATTATTTTTAATTCTCTTTAATATATTCCTAGGAAATAAATTACTGAGTCCATGTGGTAACTATGTTTAAGTCTTTCGAGGAACTGTCAGGATTTGTCCAAAATGATTGCAACCATTTAACATTTAACATTCAAAAGAAAGGTTTTAGCTTATCACTTTGTGACTTATACAGGAGAAGGATAATAACCTTTTTTCCATGTATATATGGATACAGTGAAGCTTAAAGCCTTCACCATGGGTGTATCAAGGATATTCTATAATATAGAAGAGTAGAACAAGCAGGATTAAGTTCTCACCATCTTCACAATAGGAAATAAACATTGATTTAAAGTTGACATTTTTTGTTTAGTTGCTGCGTTCTACATACAGTACAATAAAGAGAGAATTGGGGTTTATGTCAGCTTAACTTGCCCAAAGTTATAAAAATTAAATAGACACTCTTAAATGATTCATTTCAAAACAGGAAAATCTGTAAATTTGGATTATCACCTGGTGTTAACTAAAAATCTCCCTTTGAACTCAAGAGTTTTCTGCTCTTCTGGGCTATAATTCAGAAATTGACAGCCTAAAGTGGTCTGAAATTTGGATCTATTTTAATTGATTAAATGGTTTGATTGAAATTGAATGCATCCAAGTATTTGGATATTTCCATAGTAAAGTCTAATTTTAGCCCCATAGTAATCTTAGGTTTCCCACTCAACTTCTGAAAATACAAGTTTGTGGCCCATTTTCTAGGCTTAGAAAAGTTAGGGTATTACCCTGTTAGCTTAAAAGATTGAGAAAAGTCTGCATTGAATCCCAAGGAAAAGGGCACTTTTAAGCTAATTGTTTAGAGAAGAAAATACTCCTGTCATAATTGGTTTACTCATCCCTTTTTCCTATTGCTAAGGCCTTTTTAATCTACCTCTGAAGTCAGCATAGAGTCAAAGAAAAATTTTGCATGTACAAATCAGTGTTCTGGATCTGTAGGTTCTGTATCTTCAAATTCAATCAATTATGGATGGAAAAATTATTTTTAAATAATACTGAACTTACACAGATTTTTTTCCTTACCATTATTTTTTAAGTAACATAATATAACAGTTGCCTCCCATTTACATTGTGTCAATTACTACAAGCAACCAAGAGATGGTTTAAAATATATAAGACAAGCTGGGGATATACCTCAGTGGTAGAGTAAATACCTATTATGCATGCCCTGAATTCTATCTAGCACCACAAAAAATATATACAGACTCACATAGTTTATATGGAAATACAACAAAATTTTATATAAGAGACTTGAGCATCCTTTTGATTTTGATATCCATGCCAGTTCCTGTAACCAATCCTCCCAAGAGAACAACTAAATGTTAAATACTTCTGAGTATTTTCATTGGGTTGTTACCCAAAACTTAGATCTTTTGCCTACAACCATTGGATTTCAAATTGAAGTGGAATACTATTTGCAAGCTATAATTTCTATCAGATGCAATTCAGTTACTAAAAACAATACTTTTAAGAGTTACATAAATTTTCCACTAGTTGTCAGTAGAGATCCATTGCCACATTACTAAGAAGTATGTAAAATTATACTGAATCTAAGTCTTTCATTTCTAAGTTTACTAGCCATGATGTATTTGTTACTGCAAAGTTCAGTAGGAACTTTTTTCCTTATTAATTATAATATGTAAGCCTAAAGTGTATTAAGTATTTTGTAATTCTTTTAGGTCAATAATGATAATGGGACATTTTCAATGAAATAATAAGACTGTTTCTGTCTTTTCTAGGATAAAAGAGTGCATCACTTTAGAAGAAGTCGCACAGTGCTTAAATCTGAACATCTCTGCTAACTTTCAAGTCTTAGAAAGTTGCTGGTTTTGAATATTAAGAAGACACTGAAAGTTGTTCACTACTATAGAAATTCAATTCTAAATTTTGACAAATCACATTCAGACAAGTTATTTTAGATGTCTAGTTTTATTTAACATTGAAATTGTTCTCATTAGATGTTTATTTAGAAACCTGTTCTGTGTTTAATACATAGTTGAAAGTAAAAAATACGTTTCAAATTAAAAGAATGGTTGAAAGGAATAACAATATTTCAAGATTTTTAAAATTGAAATTGGCGTTTTAGAAATTTAAAGACTAATACTTATTTTCAAAAAATTGTTTAAAAAATCTGTTTTGAAAGGTCAGAATTTTGATAGTTTGAGTATTTCACTTCTCCAACAAGTACTTGTAAACAGTACAGTATTTACAGTATTGTGCTTTGCATTTATGATCTGTCTTAAAAATTTACCTCGAAAGCAGAATGTTTAAAACTGCATTTTTAATCAGTGGAACTCAACATATGGTTAGGTTTATTGAAGTCTTTCTTATGTAAACCCAGTAAAATAGATTCTAAACAAACAGTCCAATCAGTGGATCTTACATTTATTAAAAATATTTTATCCTTTACCTAGAATCCACACATATACACACATACGTATTTTATTTGATTGGGATGGTAATTAGGATAACTCAAATTCTGGGCCTAATTTTTTTTTTAAAGAATGCAAGACAAACTAATAGATACATAAACTTCTTAGTTAACATTCTTCTTTTTCCTTTTAAATTTTTTCCTTGAAATGCTAAACTCAATAGCTGTATCTTAAATTGTGCAAAATACTGGTATGAAAGAATGCTGAAATTTTTTATGTCATTTAAAGGTTAATCAGAGTATCTGAAAGGAATTGTTTTTATAAAAACATTAAAATATAAGTAAATTTTTATTCCATTAGGCTATTATATTTCCTTTTCTAAAGTAAGGTGTCCTGAGGCATTAAAGTGTGGGTAATTTGGGCAATTCTAAACCACAAAGTTATATAAGCGTGTCCAAGAATGTACTGGAGTCAAAGTTAACATTCTCTTTCTACTATTAGACATTGTGCATTATGACAACTAACTAGAGTATTAGAGCTACTTTTGTATCCACAGGCTTGCATTTGCAATCTGTATTTTGTCCTTCTAGGAGGTTTGCTCCTAAAACTTGTGGCATGAGCAGTTTGAGGACATAAGCCTTATAAAGTAGCAGTGTTGATAATACCTTTCCAAGGAAAAAAGTTGTATTTGCATCATTTGACTTGCCACATATGAGTCTAAAATGCCTTCCTGGTCTTTGTTCTAGATTGACTTCCTCCCTGAAGCATGGAGATTCCACTTATCCCTAACCTGATGTAAATTACCATGGGTTGTGCTAAGAGTGCCCATTGTGGTCTATAATTCTTAACAATTTTCATTCTGAATCTGAAAGGCAGGATCTTTAAGGGTTCCCCAAGAAGGATTTATATACCTCTAAAGTGCCCTTAAATTTGTCTTTTTAAAAGTTCTCTGCCCTGTTTGGTGGGGGAGGGGGCTATAATAGTCTTACATATATTATTCTGTGATTAAATCTTCAGCTTAGTATAAATGATACCTAAATTCTAAGGAACCAGTTCTTTTTGTTCCAGTACGACCTTAATGAAAAGGAAACAAACTTTTGTCTACTTTGTTGGAGTGAGATTTTAAAAATAAAGTAGAAAGAGACCTTTCAAAATGGAAGATTAACTTAAAATTTAAAATATGTTCCTTTTACTGCTAATACTGTCTTTGCATAAATAAACTTTTTCAAAAATATTTTTTACCTGCTTGTGGATGTCATTGTCTAAAGAAACAGTGGAATATAGGGCAGTTAGTATACAAGATTTAGATCCTTGAAATTTGAAAGTAAAAATACTGCTCAGTTTGTTAAAAAAGCAGACAGCTTATAAAGCCAAAATTTAGTATATTTTGTTTTCTCTTGCAGGAAATGTTTGTGTGTATCTATGCATATACATATATACACATGTGTATATATGCACATATGTTTTTGTGGAAGTCTTTCCTATTTTGGTTTGGAAATAATTAATAGTGAGTTCCACTACAGTGCATGAACATAGTACCTAGTAAGAATATTGGTAAACACATCCGACTCAATTCCTGTGACCAAGAACCTTCTAATTTTGGACCCCACAAAATATTTTATCTTCATATTTTGGACGTAATCTCTCTGACTCTTGTTTTAGGGTATTGTGGTTGTCCAGTAGAGCTTAAGAGTTTTCATGTTGGACTTACTTTATATAAAGGTTTATTCAAAATATCAGTATTTACCACCTCTTCCAGTTGTCGTTCCAGTAGTCTTTCATAACAGACTATGGGAAAAGAAATTCTTCCTTCCAAAGATTGCTGGATTTATCAGTTGGTAAGCCCTTATTAATTAATTCATTTATTACTAGAAATTGGACTGTGATGCCAAGGTTCTAGAAGATATAAATGGCTTTTGAATTGCCAGATTAAATTTTGATGTTTATTGTATAGTAATTTACTAAAAGTAATCCATATATATACGTACTATATTTGTATTCTACATATGCATAATGCTTTGATGTTTAGTGTATACTTTGAGACCAAAACTAGAAAAGTATTTTTAAACTGCTTTGAGCATATTTGCCATTGAGAATTACAACACAATTCTCAAAACCAAGTCTGAATTTAAAGATTCCAGGCAGCATTTTTTCATAGAAAAGCTGGAAGTAAACAAAATCAAAACTAACAATAATTTGATCTTTAATAAAAACATTTCCTTTGTAATGGTTTAATGCTTCATGATGCCATTCTTGTAACAAGAATACCGTTACTTTCAAAAACAAATATTCCACAGAAGTTCTCTGTAGTTGTAAAGCTCTTCTGTCCACTTAAGAATCCACTTGGTTTTTTGTAAACTTACCCAAGTGGGCTGCTTCATTGCTTAATCATCTTGCTTGCTCTCCTTGCTGTTGCTTGAGAGTGATAAGGAGCAGCAGTGATAAAATAGTGTACTACTATGCTTTCACAAAGATGGCAATAGAAAGGGTTGAAGACCATAAGGGAGTGTGGAAGTAGCAGTATTTTCTGTTGACCAAGTCTTGGAAATAGGGCCAGCTGTTAAAGATAATTTGGAATCCCTGAAACACTTCTTTTAGATGAGAATTGCTCCTGTATATATTTTGATAACTATAATCTAGTCCTTACCAACATTATGTGTAATACGTCTCTCTGTGTGTAACTGATACTTTTGAGCAATTGCTCACCACCCATCAAAGACTGAATTTTCCATCTGTAGGCAGTACATTTGGTGGTAGAAAACAATAAGCATAAAAAGTTCAAACTATAAACATGCGTTTTTGAATGTTTGTGCAAAATACTCAATCTGCATAGCAAAGAAATGATAAGGTAGTTCTGCGATGTATTTAGAGTTAAACATCTGTCCAATATGACTGTGCTGTAGGCCAATCCCAAGAATGCAAAATAACTCTCCTGGTACAGAAGCTGAAATTGCTACTGTACAATTAAGTTCTATGGCAGCTATATTTCACATTTTAACTGGTATAAAACAGTTCTCTAGTTGAGCCTCTAGTTCATTTTCCCAAGGCAAGACTTTGTGTCTTATGTGTGCCTCCATTAAGGCTGCATGCCAGGATGTGCTTTATTCCACAAATAAAGCTCCTGGATACCAGTTCAATAGGTCTTTAACAATAGAATAAATGCTTACATACCAAGGATATTCAGGTCATGAAAGCTCTTTGGAAATTTGAATAGTAACATTTCAAGCAGTTCAGAAAGTTAGAGCCTTTATAATCCTTAATTGGTTCTTTTTTACAGAGTAAATCTAGCAAAAATATATTAAGGCGGTAATCATATGTTTTGTCTTTTCCTCAAAATAGATACACTATTTGGCTCAATCCTGTATGAAATATTTATTGTAGAAGAAGCTTATCAGTTAATCTTCACAGTATCTTCAATATTCTGAGACCAGCTGTTTACAATGAACAGCCCTTGTATGTTTATTAAACATTTTTGGCATTACTCCCTCCCAGTAATTATCTGGCTGAGCCAATGAGAATAGAAAGATAATTTAAAATAGAAGCCATTTTCCCTTCATCTTTACTGGTTAACCTCCCCACACACACAAACACTACCTAGTGTTTGAGTTAAAGATTGGCACCAAAAGTTTGTATTTATCATTCAAACAGATTTGCGACAGTTTAATGAGAGATACAGGTGCACAGAAAGAGAAAAATAAGTGTGATGTACTGCTGGCTCCATAACTAAATGAAGTAAAATATTCAAAATGGAAATTTTGATAAAAGGTGAAACTTTTATCTTGCTTTAGCGTCAAGCTATTTTCTCCTAACTTTGCAGCCTCCATCTTCTCCATTCCCCACTAGGTCTCTGGTGTTTTGGAGCTGTGCCTAGCTCTTAGTTCTCTTGGCAAGCTGGCTGAGCTTAGATTTTGTTGGGGGTGGGGGTTGTTTGTTCTGTTGTGGGTTTTTTGTTTGTTTGTTTGTTTGTTTGTTTGTTTTTGGAGAGAAGGTTATTTTGTTTTGGTATTTTGTAATAAGGTCTTGCTATGTAGCCCAGACTAGCTTCAAATTCATGATCTTCCTGCCTCATCCTCCCAAGTCCTGAGTTCATAGTTTACAGGCACACAACCACCATGCCAGTTAAGTTGAAAAGTTTCAAAATAAACTAGTTTTACTTGATCGAACAACAACTACTGTATTGCAGCACCAAGCCTGTTGGTTTCTTTCATGAGACTTTGAACATCCAGTTTCCCTATTTTGCATGATTATTTCTGTCTGTCTCATTCCTGAGCTGTAAATCTTAGCGGGTGATCAGGGGCTCAGGTTAAGGTCCCTGATATATCTTTTTAGGATAACTTCCTACAAGGGATTGGCCGGAACAGGCATGAGCATGAAGGTTCTAGATACACACAGTAAAAAAAATTGTTCACAGCATGGAAACATTTTCTATGCTTTTGAATGCTTTCTGTGGTTTTTGTTATTTGGCATCAGTTAGGCCAGGTATTATCCTAAGCATAGCAGAAATTTCAACAGACAAAAATGTCTGCCCTCATAGAACTTGCATTCTAATCAGGGGGAGAAGAAGCAGTAAGCAGAATACAGCTTATATGTACTACAATGTCAGAAAGTGAGTTAGGGTTTGAATTTTAAGTGGGAGGGGACAAGCCTTAGTTGCAATCAAGCAAAGGTTCCAAAGAGATAAGGAGGAAAGCTATGCTACTATCCTGGACAGAGGGAACTGTCAATACACAGCTCCAAGGGGAAAGAACGCCTGGTGGTTTGGGGAAGCAGCCAAGTGACCAGTGTTACTGGGATAGGGGGAAGAGTGGGGCTGGAGATGAGAGATGATGGGCAGTGAGTGACCAGATCACTTAGGTACTTGTAGGCCACAGTGAGGACCTTGGCTTTTACTCCAAGTAAGCTCATAGCCACTGGTAATGTTTTTAAATAGAGCGTAGTGACACAATTTGAGTCACGGATTTAACAAGCCACTTTGGATGCTGAATCAATTTTTGCTTTTCTTACCTGTGTCCCTTACTGGTCTGTAGACACCTAGTGGCCAGGTGGCAAATCGTTTGCCATCTGCCCTTTTTCCAGCATAGCTTCTGGCAGAAGAAACAGCAAGTGTGAAGACCCTGAGGCATCTCTCCTGAATAAAAAAGAAGACAGATGGGGAAAATAATACCACCCTTGTTTTACAGAACAGAGAAATGGGATTTAGGGAGGCTTCAGTTGAAGGCCAGAGTCAGAACAGGATCTGAATAGAACCCAGACCTTTCAGTTCCAAGGTCAAGTTCCTTTCTCCCTGGAACAAAAAATAGCACCTACAAGCTGAGAGCGAATAAAGACAATAGCTACAGGCCAACTCATAATGCTAACAATAATTGCCAAAATCATGTTAAAAATACATGACCATCTCAGGAGATCTGCATACTGCTACTTAGAAAAGAAGGGTAGAAATTAGCATTTAGAGTATAGTTCCTGTGTACTTAACACATGAATGCATACGAAAGATGTTCACCAAATGTTAATGATACATATTTCTTGATAGTAGGATATTAGGGAGCTTTCTTTTATTTTCTTCTTTGTTCTTTCCTGAATTGTTTGCCTCTTCTACAATGAGAATGTAAAAATAGAAGAAATTTTAAAATGTTTGGTGTTAAAAAGATAACAATAAAGCTAACATTTGCAAGCTCTTTGCAATTTCACAACACCTGTACTACCATTATTTCTTTGTAAATTTTTCCAGTTTCATTCATTGTTGTAACCCAGCATGTGGAACCTGCTGCTAAGTAGGTATTTAATCGACCTTGTGGAATGCAGAAATGTGCTTTCATCAACAGCAGTTTATAGTTTAATCTTCAGTACATACCTAGAGGGCCTCAGGAATGACATGAACACATTCTAACTGAATGAAATTTATCCTTTGCTGGCTGGAGTTGCTGTGGCGCTCAAGAGAGCAGGGAACCTAGTAAAAAAGTCAGTTTGCAGATTCATGATCGTCTTAGCACTATACAAAAACTGGGTCTTTTAATCAAAAAGAGTTTTAGATTCTTTTCCTCACTGTGTCAAATTGTCCTAGCATTATTTGTTGAAAAGACTGACCTTTTGTACATAATTGCATTTATGCCTTTATAAACCAACAACAGAACAAATCAAGCTCCATGTATATGTGAATGTTTCATGTTTCTTGATGTCTGTACCACACTATTTTGATAACTGTTGC